TTTTACCTCAAAAAACCACAACAGTCTGTTTCATCCGTATAGCAATAATCAAGTGGACAATAATTTCGAAATTGTATGTTGCTTTTATGCTATCGAAAGAATGTGCGGAATGCGTGTAGGCGAAACAATGCTTAGGCGAAACAATGCATGCTTGGGTCATTAGGTTTTGTTAATTAACGACCTTGTTTACTCGAAACCACTTTTTGTGACGATATTTGCAGAAAATTTCGCTTCTTTTATTGAGTAAATTGTCCTTGTTTATGTCTTTCAAAATGCAAAATTTTTCTTCCAAACATAAATTGCAGAGTTTTGATCCCCCTGTGTACGAAATAGCGTGTCTTAAAATTGTTTCGAAAGTTCCGGTTTTGTTGAGTCTTTTTTATGACGAAAAGATGAAGTGTGGTTAGCGTAACGTTCCTTAAATGTAGTCGCTGTCATACCAATGTAGTGTTTAGTGTCGTTCGTGCTGTTCGTTGTGACTGTGGCTTTGTACGTAAATAATGTTGTTGGTCATACATTGTTTCGGTAGTGGGCAAGTGTTTTTGTTGTCGCAGTTACAGTTGTCAGTTTCCGTATTCTGTGATTGACTGTTCCTAATTATATGTGCGTTGTGTTTGGTGATTATAGACTTAACGTTGTTCATGCAACTGTAGCTTACTTTTAAAGTGTTTCTGTTAAAAATCTTGTGTAGTTTGTGCTGTAGCGGGAAGTGTTTGTCAATAAAACTTAAGAATTCCCGTCCTATGTTCGTGTTAACGCTCTTACTAAATGGTGGGTTGAACCAAATTATTTTGCGTTGCCTATTCCTACGTGTCCGTTGCGGTGCATTCTCAGTGTACGTAAATTCATGATCAAAGTTACTATGTGTAAGAGCGTTTTGGTAAATAGGTGTGGATTCCTTAAATGTTTGTTCGTCCGATGAGAGAATGCAATGCGTTTGTTGATAGCTGTAGGTAATTGTCTTGTAATGCTTGGTGGATGGTTTGAGTGTCTGTGGATGTGCAATGGATCGTCATTGGGTTTCCTGTATGGTTTGTGTTTTGCGTTGATCAGGTCGAAAGTAACATCTAAAAAATTTACAACGTTCATATTTACTTCGGCGGTGATTTTAAGGTCAAATTGCTCGAAAATTTTGTGTAGCTCTTTTCTAGTTTTGTCTAGTAAACGGGCGGATTTGCTTTTTATAATAGCCAAACCATCATCTCTATAAAGTCCGATGTTTTCCTTGCCAAACCTCTTACCTAAGTGATTTAAAATGAAAAGGCCTACCAGCTCACAAATTTCAGCGCCGTCGAAACTACCCATAGTGACGTCAAATAAACTGTTGCTTCCGTCTTTTTTTTTTCTTTTTTTTTTTCAATTAGTTTTATCAAGTCGTCTTCGAAAGGTTTCAAAAGTGGAATTGAGGGAGGCGATTTGTTAGACGAAAGGCCGAAAAGGTTGCTTTGGTTTTGCGTCGTTGATCCTTTTAGGAAGAAATTAGCTTTCCATCTCATACGTTTTGTTACGCTCTCCACTTTTTCAATCAAATTCTTTAGGTAAGCATCCTGTGATGGTATAGGAATATTCTTTAGTGAATAATCGAATCGAAATTGTCGCATGTTTTATATATATATATATATATATATATATATATATATATATATATATATATATATATATATATATATATATATATATATATATATATATATACCAAATATGTATTTAGAATCATATTTGAGTAGAGTGCTCGATATACCGAAGTATAGAGCTAATATAGATAAAGATAAAATAAACCTGGTTTACTTCGTAAAATTAATTCACTACAAACTTGTTTCGTATGACAAGCAATGCTTGCCACACTCATCAGGTGAATTTAAATGTCGCGCTATGTTGTTGCCAAGGTTATATATATATATATATATATATACATGTTTGACGTAAACGGAATGTTCAAGTATTAAAATACGTATAGATTACATATATATATATACAGATTATATTAAGTAATGTATATTGCTTAAGAGAAATTTGTTTCTATGTCTGCATTTCGACAAAAGTTCACTTCTTGAATTTAAAGAACAAAGTTCAGGGTGGTAGATTATTTCCCGGTTTCATGTACGGTTTAAATGAGGACGTTCTTAGGACAAATGTGACATCTAGGTAATTGACACATTTTTTGTTAGCTTCGATTGTAATCTTTAAATTATGTTCATTAACAGTTCTGCAAATTTGCTTCTTGATATTTTCTATTGCTCTCGGTTGTTTGTCAAACGCTGCAAGGCCATCATCTCTGTAGAGACCAATATCATTTCGATATTCTGGAGGAAGTTTGGATAGTAGGAATAAACCAACTAGCTCGCATGTTTCCGCACCATCAAAACAGCCCATCGTTACATCAAAGAGGCTATCTGACTCTTTCTTGCGCCAAGTATGCAAAGACAAAACGCACTAGAAACAGAAACGTTATATGGCTTAATCCACCTAACAACTCTAATGTCAAAACGAATATCAGACACAAATTCCTCCAAGCAATTGATGATTGCTTCCCTAAAAACAATCCTCTCCATAAAATATTTAACAGAAATACCCTGAAGCTGAGTTACAGTTGCATGCCCAACATTCGTAATATAATTTCTGGGCACAATAAATCTGTAGTAAATAAGCTCACATCAACAGATGCGTCAACATGCAGCACGAAACCAAGACAATGCAATTGCAGGAATAAGTCCTTGTGTCCACTGCCCGGTAAATATCTAACATCCAGCGTAGTCTACCAAGCAACGGTTGTTAGGAACGATACGAATCAAAAGGAATCGTATGTCGGACATACTGAAGGAGAGTTCAAATCCAGATATTATTGCCACACTAGCTCATTCAGATTAAGCAAGTATAGAAATGCGACAGAGCTGAGCAAATACATCTGGCAACTTAAAGAGTCAAAGGTCAAGTACTCCATAAACTGGCGTATTATTAAGCAATGCAAGAGCTACAACAACACAACGAAACGCTGCAGTCTTTGTACACATGAAAAATTCATCATAATCTACCACCCTGAACTTTGTTCTTTAAATTCAAGAAGTGAACTTTTGTCGATATACATTACTTAATATAATCTGTATATATATGTAATCTATACGTAATTTAATACTTGAACATTCCGTTTACGTCAAACATGTATATAGTATATATAACCTTGGTAACAACATAGCGCGACATTTAAATTCACCTGATGAGTGTG